GCGCGTTCCCAGATTCCAGGCAAGAGAAATCAGGCATTGATGACCAAGAGAAAAAACACAGAACCAGGTGGCTTGAAGTAGGAAGATGAGCTTAGTTTTTAACCTCTGACTTTGTGATGGGAAGCCTGGGGGAAATTTCCAGAAAGATGTCCACACATGACAGCGTACCAAGTGTTTAAGAGGTACCGCACACAGCGCTGCCTGCCCCACAACCCCAGGAGACGGACGTGGGGCTCATTCCCAACTTGGATTTGAGAAAATGGGGGCTCAGAAAAAAGTAAGGATGGTCTCGTGTCCCCCAGATGACAGATGAACTTAGGGGGCCAGGACCCAATCCCAAGCCCACACTCAAACTCCCGCAACACCCAACTCCAACTGTGCGTCCACACACCCAGGAGGGACCTCCCCACCCATGACCGGCAACATGACCCATAATTGCAAAAAAAAGCCCTGTACTGGAGAAAACAACAACGCGGGGGGGGGGGGGGGCAGTTGAAGAGTAACTGCTGTCCTTCCCCAACTCGACTCGGGTAAGGGGACGTCCACGCTTTTCCAAACCCACTAAGCATCAAGCGGTAAAGAGGCATGATGAATACCACCTGCTTTCTGGCGGTTACCATGTGAAGTCACCGCCCCAAAGAAACCCAACAAGATGGCGGGGTGAAGAATAAAACCGGAGAGCCCGCCTGGGTGAAAATGTCTATAGGGCCGTGCAGAGAAGAGAGGAAGGGGGAGGGTGTGTGGTGGCCACAAGAGCAGCAGCGGGGACGGAAGGGGGCGGCAGGGGCAGACAACGAGCTTCTTTCTGGAACGCACATTCAGTGGAGTCACACAGCACAGACAAGTCAGGGGGGATGAACCTGAGGAGATGGTACAAACGTGGCAATCCAGAAAGTCCCAGCAATCGGTTTCTGGAGCCAGGAGGTGGCCAGGGTGCGAGATGGAGAGGACGTCTAGCCCCGAAGACACCTCAACAATAAACACGAAGGCCTGTGGGAAGGGCTGCAGAGGCAGTGACCCCCTGCGGGCGGGGGAACACCAAAGGAGAGCCTAGGGGCAGGACCCCGGACCCCAGGCCCCAGGGGGTGGGGGAGGCTAAAGGGTGAGGCCAGACCCAAGTGCCAAGGGGTCTGTGGCAGGAAAAGTCTGAAAAGTGAAGGGGTGCTACTGTCGAAGCCCCCTTCCCTTGAGACCGGAAGCCTGACCTCACCTTGTGATAAACCTCCGGTGGCGAGGTGACCAAAGTGGGGCAGAAGGAGGTGACTCCATGCGACAATATCCTCTGGGCCACCAGGGCGACCCCCGAACCCACGTCCTCCGTGGCCTGAGAGAAGTCAACGCCAAATCCACCTACGGCCAACAAGGAGGAAGGTTGCACGGTGCCCGGACCACCTTCTCTGAGTCCCTGTCCCCCAAGCCCTAGACCGCACCGTTGATCTGCACATCGATGAAGCCAGGCGCCAGGATGCAGCCCCCGCAGTCCCGCTGCTCATCCGCCATTCGCCGCTCCTCGAAGAACAACTTCTCCGGGTCCAGAATGCGGCCTCCGCGCACCCACAGATCCTCCCTGCGGGCAGAGCCGGACGGAAGCTAGGATGGCCGGTCCCCGGGCCCACCAGAGCAGTGCCTGAGCCCGCATCCCGACCCCGCACCCGGCTCGGCTCCGGGCCCCACTCCAGCACCGCGCGACCCCGCACCCCGCGCCCCCACTTCAGCAGCTCCCGCACCCTGTGTCCCACCCGGCCCCGGGCGCCACTCCAGCAGCTCCCGATCCCCCGGCCCCGCGCACCACCCGGTCCCGGGCCCCACTCCAGCAGTGCCCGGCCCCGCGCCCTGCGACCCATCCCAGCACCTCCCGACCCCGCATCCCGCGTCCCACTCCACAACCGCCCGGCCCCGCACCCCGCCCAGCGGCTCCCGCACCCCGCGCCCCACCCTGCCCCGGGGCCCCAATCCAGCAGCTCCCGACTCCGCATCCCGCGGCCCACCAGCCGTGGGCCCCACTCCAGCAGTGCCCGGCCTCGAGTCCTGCGCCCCATCCCAGCAGCTCCCGATCCCGCGCCCCACCGGCCCCGCGCTCCACTCCCGCAGTGCCCGGCCCGCACCCCGCCGGCTCCGCACCCCATCTAGCAGCTCCCGTCCCCGCACCCCACCCGGCCTCGGGCCCCAATCCGGCAGCTGCCGGCTCCGCACCCCGCGCCCCGCCCGGCTCCCGGGCCCACCCCCGCAGCGCCTGACCCCGCACCCCGCACCCCACCTGAGCAGCGCCCGCCCTCGCAGGATGCGGCAGTTGGTGAACTGGAGCACCGGGGCCCGCCCCTCGCCCTGTGCGTCGCGCATCGTGAGCCACCGGAGCCCCACCGAGCGGGCGCCGCCCGGAGCCCCGCAGCCGAAGCCCGCTCTCCCGCTCTCCGCGCACTCGGCCGACTGCGGGCCGCCGGGCTCCGGTCGCACCCACGTGACCCTCAGCTGACTGATGCGTGCCACGTGACCGGCCGGTCCACGTGATCAGGGCGCCCACGTGACCGGCACGGCCGCCGCGGCCGCCCCCGCCCCGCCCCGCCCCCGCCGGGCCGGGCCCACAGAAGCGGTCCACACAGGCGTCCAGTCACAACCGAGAACTTTATTGGACACGGCTCGGCTCCAGGACCTCGCAGGCCCAGCACACTGGCCCGCGGCCCCGACAGCCAGGGCTGGAGGAGGGTGGTTCGATCCAAAGAGTCTCGGAGCAAACGGCAACCCCACAACGCAACACTCGACCTAAGATTACTATATAGTTGGGGACGGAGGGCTGCTCCACAGACGTATGAACAGATCAAATCTTTATAAATAAGAAACATCCAGTGAAGAGAAAATGACAACTCTAATTCACCCTTCTACAGAGCGCTCTAGGGCAGGATGAGTGGGGGCGGCCGGAGGCCCGGATGGGTAAGGAGTGGGCCCGGATGTCCACGGCACGGGGCGGGGCGGGGCGAGGCCGGGGTAGCAGACAACGGGCACTAGGACACTGCGCATTTACAAGACCGACTACTGGGGGGGCGGCGGCCCCGTGCGTGTGTGTCAGGCTGTTCATTTCGGAATGAGGGGTGGTCTTTACATCGTGTTCTGTGGCTGGTGCGCTCGGAGAGGGGCTACTTTGTGGAGAGGATGAGGGCAACGATGAGACCGTAGAGGCCGAGCACCTCGGCGAAGATGAGGATCAGGATCATGCCCACGAATAGCCGGGGCTGCTGGGCAGTGCCACGCACACCAGCGTCCCCCACGATGCCAATGGCAAAGCCAGCTGCCAGCCCGCTGAGGCCCACGCTGAGGCCAGCACCCAGTTGGAGGAAACTCCTGGGGGAGAGAAGACACCGGATAGACGTCAGCCACCTGCCAGGGGAAGCAAGTCACCAGCCCGACGCCCCCTCCCCAGCCCTCCCAGCCCCGTGCAGTGGCCTCGCCCGAGGCAGGACATGACCTATGGGGAGGGGCCCGGCACTCACCTGTAGAGAGTGATGCCATCATTCAGGGAATTAGCGATGAGGACGGCCACCACCAGCCCGTAGATGGCGATGATACCAGCCATGACCACTGGGATGATGGACTTCATGATCAGTTCTGGCCGCATGACAGACATGGCCGCGATGCCAGTGCCACTCTTGGCTGTACCGTAGGCGGCACCCAGGGCTGTGGGGAGGGGGCAGGAAAGGCAAGGTGAGCTCAGAGCACCTGGGGCCAGGACCCTGGGGGTAGTAGCTGTGGCACAGCCGAGAGACGCCGTAAGTTATCACCGACAAGGTGAGATGAAGCTGGCACCCAGCTCAGGGCAGGTGGTGGCCCTCGGGGGCAAGAGCTACAGCTGGGCACGCAGGGAGCTCAGGCAGCTGTCTCCTTCCTCCAACAGAGGCCCTTAACGGCTGTCCCGCCTATCTGGGCTCCTGCTCCGCTGTCTAACCTTGGCCCCAACCTCCCAGAGACCCCAGTACAGCTGCCCACGGCCTAAAAGGTGGAGCTCTGACAGGCCCAGCAGAGCAGCCCAGTCACATGGAGAGAAAGCTGAGGGCATCCTCAGGCACACAGCAGGACTAGGCTCTCAAGTCTGGCAAGAATCCTCTCTGCCATCACCCAGGTGGACCATGAGGCCTTGACAGACCTCCCAGAAGCACGCCTGCATGCACAGAGGCCTTGGGCTCACAGAAGCCTAGATTTCCACCCCCCCAAGACCTCCAGCAACGAGGCGTGGGGGAACGGGAGGACGTCCGGTCTCCTCTGATGGTACTCCGCCTCGCTCTTGCCAGGGTGTGCTGCCTTCCTCCAATCTCCCTTCTCCTGGCCTCCACGCATGGAGTAACTTTTGCACAGAATAGAGCCACAGCGGGCCCAGGTGGCTCTTCTGACTCCTGCCCTCCAAGGTCTTGCTGCACTGCTTGAGCAAAGGATAACATGGCTCATGGGTTTCAGAAAAGATGTGGACACTCCTGGCCATTCCTCTGCACGTTTTATTCACCTATTTGGGCCACAAAAAATGCTTCCTCTCTGTGCTCATCACTGAGCAGGGAGGAAGTCAGAGGAGCTCTGGCTTCCCAGGGCTCCAAGCCCGGTGAGGAAACACACACGTCCACTCCAAGCACAGCAACACGTTCTAGAAGAGTGGGGAGGCCCGTGGGAGTGGGGGAAGGGCTCCATAGAGAAAGTGACGTTTGAGGAAGAGGCTTGAGTGAGCAAAAATGATTGCAGACAGCACGCACGAATGGAGACGTCCCCCAACGAGGCATCACACTGGGAGCTAGCAGAGAGAGAAAAGAAGTAGGGGTGGGAGCAGAGGGATTTCCACTCCAACACCACCACGCCTAGACACTCGGCACCTTTAACCTGGGGCTCAGGGCTGGTCTTCACGAAGCTCTTCCGGAAACTCTCCTGGTTGCAGTGCATTCTGGGGGCTGCTACTGCAGGCCCCGCACCACATCGGGCTATGTCAAGTGCATGCAAGGAGCCAGTGCCATGGTTTGTCACTCAAGCGGGAGAGCACAGGCGATGAGTGTCACTGAGTAAGGCACCGATTACTGGGAAGTGAGCATCCCAGGTAGCAGGACACGGCCAGAGGTGGAAAGTGGGCGGGGCCCTTCGCCAGAAGGCAGCAGGGAGATCGTGTGGCTGAGGGTGGGGCCGCCACGACAGGAACAAAGGGAAGAAAGAGGGCTGACCGTCAGGATGGAAAAGCAGCGTGGCCTGGGCGGCAGCAGGTGTCCCGGAAAACCCTGGATGCCAGCTCTGGAGGCCAAGCCTCACCAGGTCCCAGATTGAGCAGGGAACAGAAAGAGTGCAATCAGGAGGCAGTTCCAAGAACAAAGCACCAAACGCAGGGTGCCTGCCAGCAGGGAGGAAGTCCGAGATTACGGTCAAGGAGCAACTGACAAACTTGTGGAAGACTTGATGAAGAAAGAGTTGACAGGACTTCTGTCACAAGAAAAAAGGGGAAGCAGGAAGGAGATCGGGCCCCACAGGAGCAGGCAGCACCAATCCTCAGGGGCCTGGGGCAACAAAAAAGCCCTAGACCAGTGATACCCTGTTCTCAGTAACTTCCAGAGACCTGCTTTCTGATCAGGCTCCATCTGAAAGTATCAAGTTAAGTTCTAGAAAAGGAAGAGACGTACCTGATGACTAGAGCAGGCCAGGAGCTGGGTACAGAAAAAGGGCCCAAGGGGCAAACTCGGGGCTTCGGGAACAAGCAATGACAGCCAGAATTCAAGGAATTCTGGGGCGGGAATGTCTTGTTTTGTTCACTGATGTTCCCCTGTGCCTGGCACACAGTAGGAGCTCACTCGACATTTGCTGAATGAACGAACGACAGCCATAAGTAACAACGCACACATGGCCAGGCACAGTAGAATCTCAAGAACTGTGGAGGCAAAGGGCAGAAAAGGGGTGGGGGAGTTACAGCAGCCTGTCCGTCCGGAAGTGCTGGAAGGCAGACAGCCCCTTAAGATGTGGAAAGAGCAGGGTTAGCTGGGAGAGAAGGGGAAGTCCAGACCACTTCTCCCCCCACAAATGACCCCTTATGTGCACGTGATGGGAAGGGCAGGGTAGGGCTCACTCAGCAACTCATGACTGGCAGACAGGCCCAGGCAGAGGGCGGCCCTCAAGACAGCAGAGTCCCCAAGCCCCCACCTCACAAGTGTTTACAGACAGCACAGGCTGTTTGGAGTTCAAACCCGCCACATACTTGCACAGGGAGCCTCCCCAGCCCACCAGGTAGGGTGGGGCAGGGCGGGGTCATCCAAACCAAAAACCAGACCTACCTAAGGAGGCCCAGAGGAGACCAGGCCAGACCAGTCTACAGGCCTGCAGCAGACTAGGACTCACCTTCCTGGGTCCCACATTCTCGGGCCTGGCCCACGTGCCTTTCTCTCAGGTAGACCAGTTTTCACCAAATTCAACACCCATTACCGTCAAGACCTAACTTCAAAAGCAGGGTGCCATCAAGAACCTGGAAGGCCCCTTCTCTTTGCCTAGGGGAGCCCTCCCAATTTCGGACCTGGGAAAAGGGAAGTCATTCATTCATTCAGGCCTGAACCAGACGACTCCCTCCTAAGGACAAAGACCCAATATGACACTCTATGCCACTGTCTCATTCACCCAGAAGTAGACCCCCGACAAGCTTGCACACGCATAGCACTGATGCTGGCCTGCTTCCCAAACACCCGTCCTTCGCCCTTAGCCTGTCCAGACCCCTGCCCCATTCCACACAATCCTAGCCCTGGGCTCCTGCCAACTGTCAGGACCATCCCCTCTGCCCCATTTTCCCAAACAACCCACACATCCCACAGGGCTACGGGGAAACAGTGACAGGCCGTAACCGGAAGCACCTGCCTCTGGGCACAGACCCACCTGACCCCCGTCGGGGGCGGGCCGCCACAAGGGCGAGAGCTGTGTACCAAGGAGGGGAGCGCCAGGGCCTCATCCCCCGACACCCCCGCCGAACAGGGGGAGCTTCCCGAGGTGTGATGTCACACCTGCCCGCAGGATGGCGGTGGGGGGTGCGGAGCAGGCGCAGGACCGCGCGCCCCCACCCCAGCCTCCCTCCCGCCTCTCCTAGGGCTAAGATGGCAGCGGCGCCGCCGCCCCACCCCCGCACCTACACTGACGGCGGCAGGGCTGCCGGCCCAGGATCCCCGGGAGACCCGTGAGACCCGCACCCCCGCCCAGCCCGCAGGCCCTGCGACTCGCAGCCCTCGGGGCCCCGACCCCCGCCCGCGGTCACGTGAGGCTCGGGACCCCCCCCAACAGCTCGGAATTACGTCAGCGTGACGTCACACCAAGAACCCTAGGGCGACGCGGGCATAAGCTCCGCGAGTCCCGGCGCCCCCAGCCTCCCGAGTCCCTCCTGCCTCGGCGCTCACCGCTGAAGACCATGGCGGCCGAGGCGCCCATGACCGCGAAAAAGGAGGCGTACTCGGGGCCGCTCTTGGCCTCGGACATGTCTGCGGGTGGGGAGAGGGCGAGCTCAGCGGGCCAAGACGGGGGCGAGGACGGGCCGGGCGCGGCAAGCGAGCGCAAGGAGAGCAGTCAGGCGGCTGCGAAGGCGACCCGGCCCGTCAGCGGCTGCGCTCTAAATACCAGCACCGCAGAACAAAATGGCGGCCGCAGCCGTGTCACATGACCCGGGCTCCGCCCCTTCGGGCTATACCACTTCGTGCAGGCGGGGGGCGCCACGGCTTGGTACGCCCTAGCGGCCCTCTGACTGCTCCTGCACCGTGCCGCCGCCCAAGCGACCCGGACTCAGGCGTTCCGCCCCACCTCGGCCTCCGCGGACGCGGAGCCGGGCGCTGGCAGCTTCTAGCACCCCTTGGCGTTGGGCCCGTCCGGCTCCCGGGCGGGGGCGGGGCGGTGGCCCTCGTATTAGCATATGGGGCGGGGCGTGGGGTGCCCCGCCTCCTCTGCGGCTGCGAGGCGCCAGCTGGTGCGGCTTTCCTTTACGTTCGCCGAGTGGATTCGGCGGCGAGGTTCTCGCGGCCTTTCTCCGGGCACCCGGGACCGAGGTCTCCCCGGGAAGTCTTCATACTTCAGACGGAGTATGAACAAACGGAGCCGAAATCCCAAGGCCTGGGCGTCGGCCTTTTCTTCTGCTCCAGTCCCCAGGAAAGCCCCTACCCCACCTGTGAACTCCTGGCCTCTCCTCGCAGCCCTCCTGTGCCCCCAGGTCGCCCCACCCCGACCATGTCCCCAGTCTCCTCCAGACACAGACCTACCGGCCCCCGTCCCAGCTATTGGTGACTTCTCTCCTGGCTTCTGAGGAAAAGGAGCCCCCTTCCCGGCATCTGTCCCCTCCTTTGCATCAGTGACCCAGCCTTCAGGTGAGGGGCTGTCTCTACCCCCTCAAGATGGAAGCCTGGCTGGTTTGAAACCCTGTCAGTGCTGCGACCTGTGGATGATTCCCCAGATTTCTGCATATTCTGGGATCCATTTCCTCCAGCCTGTCCTCACGCAAAGCTGACACCTGCAGGGCTGCATTTATTTCTGGAACAACAGCCAGTGGTTCCTTCCCATTCCACCCGGCAGCTTGGCCTGGGGTTGGAACTGTCCTGCTGATCCCACGAGGGGTTATCGGCACCCCGACTGGCCGCCTTATCTCTCCCCACCAGCCGTGGTTCCCTTTGCCCTCTTGTTCCTTGCCTTTCAGAACTACCTGGTCCTTGGTCTTCCTTGAGCTCCTGGCCCTGGTCCCAGCACTAAAGGGTTCTCCCTGGAAGTCCTGGGTGGCAGCCTTCTCCATGTGGGCAGTGTGGGGTCAGCACCTCTGCCCACCACCCCACCGGACTCAGCTCCACCTTCCACAACAGCTTCCCTCGTGGCCCCTTCCCATTGGCAAGACTGGGTCCTCCACCACGCCAACTGGCAGCCTGCAGACGTGTCTGGTCTGTCCTGTTTCAAAAGGGAGGAGGCTGCCGTACCCCCGGAGGCCTCTCCACCTTCCTCCGCCACCCTCTTCCCAGACTCTGACTTCTGCAAAGAGAAATCTTCACTCGGTGTCTCCGCTTCACCCGCTCTCCCTCCCAACCCCTTGCCTTTGCCAAGGTCACCTGGGACTTGCCGTTTCTCTAAGCTGAGAGGCGTCTGTCAGGCTGTATGGGGGGGCCTCTTTGCTGCATGGCCCGCTGCCCACTCCACCACACCCTCTCCTCTCTCTCCAGCGCACCTCCTACAGCCCGACGCCTTCATTCCTTCTTCCTGGGGTCGCAAGGAGGACCGAGGACAGGCCCAGGCCCCGCAGCAGCCTGGCGTCCCTGCAGGTGTCTGGTGAGCCCAGGGTTCCCGCCGCCCGCCCTACCCCTGGGCGGTCACGTCCAGCATCTCGCACCGTTCTGTCACAGCCCTGATGGCGCCCAAGTGCCTGCCACAGGCCTGCCCCTCACAGCTGCAGGCATTTAGGGTGCAGGTCAGGGAGCCAGTGCTGGTTGGGGGGAGTGTGCAGGGGGAGACTTCACACCAGAATTCCTCCGCCAGGAAACCACACAAACACCCAGAGGTGGGCAAAGCATGCCCCCCCCCCTCCGCCCCCCATGTGGCTGAAATCCTAAGACCCAGGGTGACAGTTCCCTCCTTGGGCTCAGGGAGTATGTCATCGATGCTCACTGTCATCTCATCTTCTGCGCAGGGTGAGGGGTCACACCAGGTCTCTGGGGGGGGGGGGACTGCTGACACCTCCAGCCAGCATGTCTCAAAGTGAGCTCACCCCACCCCCACCTGCTTCCACTCTGTTATTTCCATTTCGGGCAAAAGACGCTCAAACCCGCAGCCTTGAGTCACTCCACTGCTCACTCTTCGTTACTCACCGAGCCCCGAGCTTCTGCTGCTTCCTGGCCGCTAGCTCTGCCCCGCCACCCCCACCACCACCACCACCACCACCACCACCACCACACTGCCCTCAGATCGGGCCTTCCCTCCTGGCCTGGGTCTCCTCACAGCCTCTAACCGGGTCCACCTGCTCAGTCTTAACCTCCCTCCCCGCAGTGCATTCTTCATCCTGAAG